CTAGATCCGTTGCTGAGCGCTTCGGCAGTGCACCAAACTGTTGCTGGCCGACTACATCATGGATTACTGCAAGGTGTGCCATCCGCTTAGCTAAGAGCCTTTCTAACCCTTTTCCCAAGCATGAGAGAAGAGCGATTGGTCTCCAACCCTTGATTGTCGTTGGATCTCTATCGTTCTTTTGAAGGAGGACCACCTCGGCTAATTTGAAACACTTTGGATGGGTGCCAAGCAGAATGCAAGCTCGGAACAGTTGGGAAATCCAAGGCCCGATCGTATTCCAACACGCCTCCAGCAGGTTTACGGAGACTCCGTCTGCTCCTGGGGCCGTATTTCCGCAGCCAATGGTACAGGCTCGGACCTCTTCATCTATTACGTCCTCTTCCCATGGTATCCGACTGCAGCTCGCGACTGTACATGGTGACAAGTCGTCTGATGCCTGATATCGTGCCAGGAGGGAGTCGCGAAGGATCGTGGCCCGTTTTAATGGATCTGTTATCAACGTCCCATTATGGTTCAGTGGCGGAGGGATACTAGCCTGTCTAGGGTTATCCATTCTCATTAGCTTGAATACATGAGTCGGCGTAGTAATTGATTCGACCTGTTGGGTTTTGAACTCCTTTTTCGAGGTCTTCACAACTGATCGAAGCTTTTTCGCGCTGAGTGCCCGTTGACTGGGAGTTATCGCGCTTTTATACTCGGCGAAGGCTGCCTTGCACTCTGGGGTCCACCACGGAGCAGATCTGCCGCAGCGGGCTTTTGGTCGTGTTCCTACTGCATTGATTGCATTAGTGAGATGGAAACAAATTTCCTCGGCATACTCTTCAACCCTCTCGATTGTGTCAAGAACTGGTGGTGGTCGGACCCACTGTGCAATTACCTTGGCGTATCTGGGTAGTTTATCCTTTGTTACTCGGAGTTTTGCCTTTTCGGGTCTCATCACTGAGTTGCGAACTGGAATTTGTCCTCGGATAGGGAAGTGATCGCTGGTGACACATCCACCACGATCTACCCAAGCACGGGTGCCGTCGACATTACTCCAAACTAGATCTAGCGTGTTTCCAGCTCGGTGAGTGGGCTCCCCAATAATATGACAGATCAAATGGTGTTTGTCTGCCCATTTCTCGATCATTTCTCCTTGTCCATGAGGACGTTCCACGCCAGGTTGCCGAGCCTAATATGCCGAGTTAAAGTCCCCAGCAGCGACGGAGTTTGGCGGTGGAATCCAGTTGATTAGTGGCTGGATAGCTGTCGAGTCATTGGGTGCCTTGAAGACGTTGAGAAAAGTAATGCCGTTCACTTCAACCCAGCAATAGTCTCCTGTGGACACAACATAAGGAAAGATCTGTGTTGCCGATATCTTTTTATCGTCTATCCGGGTATAGGTCACAGCCCTCGGCCTAACATTTTCGCCGCCGTTAGGCAGATGATAGGTATATCCTGGGTGATCCTTTGTTGTATTCTTTTGTTTATTCCACAGAGGTTCTTGAACAAGAACCACGTCGATACCCAGCTCAAATGCTCGGGCAAGCGCAATGTTTTGCGTTGAGCCCCCTCTACCTACGTTTATTGACATAAAGCTTAGAGTAGGAGAGAGGCTCGAAGAGACCTGTGGGGTGCCCTTCACAAAGATTTTTGCTGATTTGATGCCTCATCGACCTCGGCTACAGTCGCTGTAGCGTCGGACATGAGAGCCTCAAAACAGTTGGTCGATTTGAAACCTGGCTGGTTAGTGTTTGACGCTTCTGCGGCTGCTGTCATCGCTGCCTCTGCGTGTTTGACAGCTGCTTTGGCCCGAGTGACTGCTGCGAATTCGCGTTGGCTAGCCTGCCTTATAGTCTGAAGGTTTTCCCTAGAGGCCATTCCAGACTTTGTTGGACGAGCTAGACAGTCCCGACTATCTGACCTGTGTGGACCTCCACAGTTGCGGCACTTGGTGTGTGCCTTGCACTCCGCGATGGAATGCATAGTTGAAGTACAATTCCAGCAGGCTGGGGCGCGCGAGCAGCCTCTGGTGCCATGGAATTGTAGGCATCTTTTGCACTGGTTGATGCTTTGACGAGGCTGGTGGCGGACTGCAATCCCAGAGTCGTCGAAAAGTCGGAAACCTGGCCGAGGGATCGATGCTTTTTCGAAAAGGGCTACCCATGACTGGTATGGGGCTCCAAGTCGGCTTTTCCCATGTGGGCGAACTTTTACCGGGACAGCCTTGGTGACCCTGACTATCTCGTCTGTTACCATCTCTTCAGTGACGATTACTCTGCCCATTATTGTATTAATGGCAACTGGGACTGTTGCGATTCTAAGTGAGCCCAGGTCCGATGCTTCTTCCAGTATGGCATCTTGCTGGATGAGGGACCCAGCTAGGCTTAATATGATGGCGCGTGCCTCTTGGTTTTCGGCTCTAATTGCGAAGCCAGTTGGAACACGGTATACGTGCTCAATATTGGCTTGAGGAATTTCAAGCACTTTTGCCACAGCCTCTCTAACACCAAACGGTGATAGCTTTCTCCAAGGGTGTTCATTTCCAAGGCGAAGAAACAAGCGTTCATCTTTCATGGCTGATTGCGTTGGGGTGGTCAGGTTTTTTGACGGCCGCGTCGAGTTTGCCGCCTTTGGCATAGCCTGTGCGACTTTCGTAGCTGCCGGGGGAGTCTTTATACCGGTGCGGGTGATTGACGCCCAAGTGGTTTTGGCCTGGGAGACTTTGTCATGAGTCACTTTATTTTGTGGCTCATCCTGCTTTTTGGCAGCACGTTCTATAATCTTGCTGCCAGTAGCCTGGCTTTCGGGGCGTGGGGGAAGTGATGGGAGGACTGTACCTGGTCCCGCGATCATAAATTGAGCTATTGCAGCTCTAATGTAGACTTTCATAGAGTCTATAAATTGAACACTCGACCCTTTGGATAGGGGGGATAGTGCATTCTCGACACCGTTTATTGCAGCGGTGCAAATTTTTACATTTTCCGCAGTTTTTGCGGCCCGGCGTTCCTCAGCCTCAATTAAGGCTCTCAGTTCGGGGGGGCATTCCTCCGTATGCCTGTCTTCATTTCCACTGCGAGGAGAAGGATTCTCTTCTGTGGTTCCTAGTGTATGTTCCATGGGGTTCGGGGTAGATGCCGCGCCTTTTGCCTTGTTAGCATCTGCAATCGCAGGCCGCCTCATAGCTGGCACAGCGACTTCAATGAGAGGAAGTATATGCTGTCCGGTAGTCGCTGTCCCTAAATTGTTGCGACTCGTCGCTGCATTTTCAGCTCCGGTCGCATCTGGCTTGGAGTGAATTGAGTTAGGTAGTCTTTTCAGATTCTTAAGAATCTTGTCAATGTCAAAGTTGCCAACATCTATCATATCGCAATCTATGGTACTTTCGTCGATTAATTGGTCGATGTTCATCTCTTGAACGGCAGTGAGTGGGCCCAACTTGACGCTTGCTTTCTGTCGAGCAACGTGTTTGAGGTGCTTGCGGTTATCTACGATGTCTTTCGCCCGCGATGGCTTACTGCGAACTGGGGGCATATTGGTAGCCTGCCAGTCGCTCACAAATTTTGAATTAAGGGCGTACGATATTACGATATCGAGAGAGGGAGGGAGAGGGGGAAAGGGTGAATATTCGAAAATTCGAATTCCAAAAAATTGCGTATGTGTGTGTTTGTGTTTATTGTGCTACTTGAGTCTATGACTATCTAGCACATTGGGCTCCTCTCTGACCCAGGCCACACCTTGTACAGTGCTCCTATCCTCTTTTGTTACTTGAAAGATCATTGATATATTCCCCTTGATGAATAGCCATTCAGCTCAGTATTTACCCGTGGAATTCAGCCACCTTTTCCACGGAACCTTCTACCCAAAAAAAATAAAAATGGTAGCAATGGAAACTGCGTGCGCGGGAAAAAGTTTCAAAAAACCTGCAGCCCCAGCCAGGCGAGGCCTAGACACCGGGACCACATGAGTTGCGCATATTCATCTATATCTCCCTTCTTTGTAACAGTCGAGGCCGACTTGATCCAATCCACCATCTCCGTATCGGGTGCTGGGTACGCTCCGGAAACTCATCGGATGGCTTTTCCTCCGTGATCAAGGTTTGGTGATGAGTAGAGCTCCGACCCTACCATCTGATCTGATCGTGGTTAGCTTCATGATAATGGTGATAGGGGAATGTGTTGAGAGATGAAGACGATACAGACCGCGAAAGCGATTGGGAATCCTTTTCGAAGTGAGGACTTTGTTACTCAATCTCGGCTCTGCAGGCTCTACAGTGAGAGCTGGAGGTTCGTAGGGGGCACCGCTGACAGGTGTTGAGAATAGTCCCCCTCCATACATAGTTATAGTCTTCATAGGACAATAAACACTCACTCATAGGAGTACGGAGGTTGCAAGTTACATAGCACATTAGATATATTGAATTGTATATTTTCGAGTAAATATTAGGTGTGCCTACATTAACCTATTTCTAGATTATAAAGATTTACAGGGCTTCATCATCCTAGATTTTAAATTTGAACAATTGAGTAACAATCATACGAAGATACATGTCTCATTTTAGGCTGTAAATTTGAGGATTGGAGGCTATTCCAAAGCTTATCACACCCTAATTATCTAGCTTTTAGCTATAGAGAATCGTATATTTGGAACTTTTACTATTTCCATATCAAAGAATATATACAGTGCAAGTGAGCAGTGTTGTTTCAAAGTGGCCCTCTCTCTAAGTCCCCAAATTTCCGTGCCAACAATAGGGCATCACAAATTTTATACATTTCATACACATGCTAAGAGACTTCAAGAAATAATCCATCAACGTCTAATTATGTCTCTCTAGACACCCAGACGCAGTTGTTTTTCAATACATCCATTTCATTTAATAGCTCTGTACAGGCCTCCATGAACGCCAGGCGTAAGTCTCATTCGCTAAAACGCTTTACAAAGAATGGGGGTATCAAATCAAAAATTCAAACCAGAATCAATCAGGGAAAAGTGTGGTTGAGCTGTAGTGAACCGAATAACTGTTATAAATGTGTCGAAGGAGTGATAGAGTTACTTCGGTCCTTGTAAGCCCAACTGAAGAGGTCAAATTTCTCCTTTGGTAGAAGAGGAAAAGAAACATCGCTGTGATTGCGACACATGTTTTGTGTCTCACGAGGTTCCAATAAAAGGCTCTTTCTATATAGCTGCTGGACATGTTCATTCTCAGATGAGTGCTTTACCCGACGAATCTGCGAATGAATCCAGTCCTGGAGCTCTGGAATCTCTGTTAGGGAATAGGGGATCTGGAAACGCTGGAGATCGTTGATTATTTTTGCCGTGCGGGTGTGTTTGTCAAAGTTAATCACAGTGAGCCCATCGCAATCACCGTTTCCTGGAAGTTGACGAGTAGGAGAGTTACCAGCATCGACAAACGTGAGGTCAGTTAAATACATTCCAACGAATGGTAGACATGGCGGTACATGATCATAAAGCTTTTTACGAAGAATTGCGTAGTTTTTATCGGGCTCGACAACAATCTGAAGACTGTGGAGTAAATCTTTACGCCGCTGAGAGACGGCATCCCAGGTTCTCTTGAGTCGTGTAATGGTCGAGCAATTCATGGAGCATATTATGGCCATTAGAGTGTCGTAATTACGTAGCTCCAAGCATTTGTGAGCAATTTTAATCCAGTGTTTGATGATACTAGCACGTTTCTTTGCATCATCGTGTTGAAGGACAGTATCTGTAACAAGATTCGATAGGTCTGTAGACAATGTTGCCATTGCCCTGACGTTTGTAGCATTTGACCCAGAACGCTTAGTCCACTCCGATCCCAGGAGTTCTTCGGGGAGTATTGAGCAGAAAATCCTGATACCTTTAATTGTCAACTGCCTGGCGATTTCAAGTGGGTCAAAGTCGACGATGCTAGGGCTACTTCCACCCATCTTCCAATTTCGTAACATGGTGAGCGAATTCTTGCTTAGTATTGAGTTAGGAATTGGGTTATCTTGTATTGCTAGTGCGGCGTAGGATGAGGACTTTCCATTGTTTGTTAACTTTCCAGAAATAGACGTGTGCTTTGATGAAGAGACAATTGCTATAAGTTCGTGTAGTCGACGACTAGCCCCTGGAAGGGTTTTGACTAGCTTTTCAGATGCAAAAGTCTCGATTATTTCAATCGCTGGAACGTCCACATTTGGCTGCCAGTGTGATTCTAACCATCCTTTGAAGACATTGTATACGCGAAGCCTTACTGGTCCAGAAGTCTTAGGGCTTTCAGATACATAATCATACCGTTCAATAAGAGCTCTAGCAAAATCTTCTGGGTTAACAAATAGCCGGAAGGTAAGATAAAAGGTCGACACGAATACAGAATCAGGTGTTGAGTCGTGAGTGGTTAGTCTTTCTACAAGTGCTGGAAGAGTTCCACCTGCTATACCTCCATCCTTGTTTAGGAGTAGCTCGTGCGCAAATGTCTTTTCAAGCATGTTTGACTCTACCTCCTCTACGTCATCTGTTGCTGTTGTTGGACTGTCTATAACACTCAAGTCTGATGTGGAGATTCTAACCTGGGATGCGCTAAGGTTAATGTCGGGTGTTGTGGCGCGTGTTGACGTTTGGGAGATAATACTGAGCTCTGAATTTCTCATGCTATTGAGATAAGTACTGTTTGTCCCGTCGTGTGATGTAGCTATACTACTCGCTCGAAATGAAGTTCGACATTCTAACTCTCGAGTTGGTTGGTTGAAAGGAGAGCTGTATTCTTCTTGGGACATCAATGGGCTTGACATCATGGGTATTGGAGGAAGTAAAGCTCTTTTTGCTGGGTCTGGGAACCCAAATGAGCTTGGTGAAAATGTTGTTAGTGGACTAATAGGCGTGAACTGATACACGTCGTCCTCAAGCAAAGAGTATGAGGACATGGGTACATCGGGGAGAGGCTTTTCGTAGTTTGGTATGGTGAATGGAGGAGGTGGTGGTGGATTGGAAGGTTCGCGGTTCGATAAGTCCGATCGTAAGTCATACTGAAGTCTTGGTTTTGGCTCTTGACTGCAGTTCATCTGAATACCTAAGCCACTGCTTCCGGACTCGAACTCAAAGTCCCCAATCCTCTCAATGAAGAACTTGGTCTTAGCGACACACTCTCCGGCAGCTTTCACGCAACCAGTGGATGCGGTTAACAGACTAGCTTTTTGGGGGGGCATAACTACTGCTTCATCGTCTCCACCAGATGATTTGATAATATCTTGTGCTGCCGTGACAAGTTGCTGGATTCTCTCTTCCATAGCATGCTTAGTAGCTTTCAAGAACTGTGCACTCTGACTGTGATGATCACAAACGGCACTCACAACTATTAGAAGCTGTCTTCCAGCTGATACAAACTGTTGAATAGCTGAGATCAAGTCTGACGGTGACTGTGACTGTAGGTGGAGTCTACCAATAAAAGCGCCAAGAAACGAGAGCAATGTATCATGACTACAATTGAGCTTCTCAGATACTAAGTTTTGGCGTTGATCCACTGGCAGGGAGGCAGATATCCTATGAGATATAGATTGCCTTTTTGATTGTGTAGAAGTGGGCCGAGCAATAGAAGCAGGACCACAAGGAACGGGAAATGAGTAACCTTTTACAAGTTGTGGTAAGGGTGAATCTGTGTGTCTTCTTTCTGTCGATGAACTGATTGAGTATGTACTCGCCGCGGTAAGCATAGGATGTGAGTCATCCGTGGCGTTTAATATGGAGGCTTTCGTTGTCACCGCTTCGTGAGGTGGCGTTGGGGCCGATGGTGTCTCGTCGGTTATTTGTGGCGCATTCGTGTTTAGTGCTTGGGCATTACATGAAGGGGCCCTGAGACAGCTTGTCCATATATCGAGAAATCTGACACCGCGTACGGTAATTTTAAATGCCCTCACGACCATCTCATCGATAGTATGGTTGAGATCATGCCTTTGAAGGGAGTTTAAGCTGCTTAATGCAACACATTCTTGTAAGTTTTTGGACTTCTTTACTAGGCCGGATAGGTCGGAAAGTAAAGATTTACGGTTTCGCCGTAATATCTCGTTGTTTTTGATCAGTTCATTCTCACGAGTTAGACAATCTGTTTTTTCCTGATGATGATTAGCTAAGGGGTTAATAGCGTATGGAAGTGGCGACAAACTAGAAGGTATCTGACGCCGGCAATAATACCACGGATAAATTCCTGATTATGAAAGAGCTTGTTTTCTTTGAATGCATCAGTCCGTAATAAGTCCCAGAAATTAAGAAGTCCAGAGAGTAAGTTGCGCATGGGTTCGGGGTCATACGCCTCGCAGTAATTCGTAGGAAGCCATCCCCTCGATCCTGAAATGAGTAGAGTGCCGTCGGCCCATCCGTTGGTATGGATGGAGTGGATAAGGATGACATCGCCTTCGTTGAGGGGCAAAGTAATAGTTGTTTGTGAATCAGCTTGTGCAGGCTGAAATGGGTAGAATGCCCTTAGAAAATTGTGAAAGACAGGTTCATTGTTCTCTGGTAGAAGGTATTCCTTTTCTGCACAGTTCGGAGTGGCCCGAAGTTCCAAGTCTGATAGTGTCGGAGGTTTGGATTTCTCTAGAGTAGGCTGACGGTGGCAAGATTGGCCTCGGTCCTCCATTTTTGGCGGAAAAGTCGGATCTTGATTGGCGATGGGTTTATTTAGAGGTGCAGTAGAACGCACCGACAGGTCACTAGACATCACCGAATGTGGTGAGTGGCGGAAATCACGCTCATGGAAAACTCGCCCAGTAAATATGGGTGTAAGTCTAAACTATCCCACTAATTCATAGGGTAAATCAAGTGACAAATCCTCAGAGGTATCTCTCTGATGGTTCCCTGGTAATATGCGCGTTGTTTTGTTGGTAGTTTAGGTTATGTTAGTTGGGGTCGGTAGCCGCGCGTTATGCTGTACAGGCCTTGTCTGGAAGAAGTAGACCAGTTGATACCTGTTTCGATCTAGGTTCTCCATTAGCACCTAAAATGGACATAGATACTACTGAGAGAGTCTAGAGATCAATTGATGGATTGATGGATTGATGGATTAAACCTACCAGTTCTATCTTTCTCAAGCGCCGCAGGGTGAGCGCACGTAATGTGTTTGGGTTGTTTGGCGTTATCTGTTTGAGAATTGAATAATTTAGAATTAATGATCTCATTGATTCTCCTCGGCGGCTAGGTGACAATAAACCCCCAGAAAGTGTTATCGATGAATTGATTATCGTGGGATTTCTCTGGTATTGATGGTGATGATACGAGCTAAAAATTTAATATTTAGGGTGTTAAACTGATGAGTTATTTTCAGATGGAAGATTCAGTAGGTTGTCAATTATCAGTCAGAAAATACTGTAACTAAATGGATGTACGTTGCTATCGTAGACGGCTATTGTTTTGGAATTTGCAGCTAGTGTGTGCAGGTCTGGAATTCTAATCAAGCGGTTGGCTAGGTTCAGTATCGGTTTAATTCAAAGCTGTATCGGAGCTGCCACTTGGAATATATCACTATGTCCTGTACCTGTCGATGGTGGTATGGAGCGATACGGAATTGGAGCTCAATCAATTCTGCTACCTTAACTGAATGATCAGCCGGTCCGTCTCTTCTTGTTTACCGTAACGGAAGGGATTCCTTGTCGTAGATCAATAACTTGGACCTCGTAGAGAAATTCCTTTGTGTAGTTGTGGAGATGACCAGGTAGCCCTGCACTCAGCAGGGGCAGGCAAGGGAAAGAGCGACGAGGTAGTATTTGTCGCTGAAGAAGGATTTTCTCAACCTAATTTATTGAGATTGGAGGGTACAGTAGGAATTAGGGTACAGCAGCAGACAAATTTGGCATAGGAAAGGAGTTGTCATGGTATCCGGCAAAAGAAAGGCGAGTTTAGGGATCTTTGTTTTTTACAGTCAAGGTCTGATCTACCATGTCAATAATCTATTTCTTTTTTGTTTAACATGATGCTAGCCCTTAGCTTTTGACCACCATCTGTCTTATCTCGTCCTATTGGACATTTAATAACTGATGGGGTTTCTACCTGCAGCCTCACATGGCCAACTGTATGAGCATGGTTCCAGGACTGACCACCAAGACATTCGTAGACTATAGAAACTTGTGAAGCCTACGCCTGTATATTTACAAATCTCAATTGATTTATTCTACAAAGTGAAAGCGCCAACATGCTGAAATTTTTGTAGTCTCTATCCTAGCCACCCGTTTGACCGACGCTACCTGAACACCTGCTAATCAGCGAGTAAGAGTCTTCTTGACGCCAAATGATACAAATGAAGTCTCTCCCAACGATGCGGTAGCGGGTTAATGGCTCGCGTGTCCGGAGATGTAGTTTCGACGTGGGTGACTAGTAGCTGTGATAGTGCACAGACTGGACACTGCGGACGGCAGGCATAAATGCTCCGTTATACATGGGGGTTATCCGGATGGTCATGGCTGTCTATCTGTGTGTTACTATTCTCCAAGTGTCTGTAATTCGTGTGATGTGGAATTCGTTCTTTCGCCTGATATCATGTCAGTGAACAACGATCAGATACGTTCCGGGCATATATCCGCTTGATGCGTAGAAGGGGGTAAACTGTGATTCTCATCGTCATTAGTCCTGGTACACAACCGCTTGAGGAGTCATGATCTTGGATGACGAGTGGGGTAAACGATGCAATGGCGATTTTCCTTTCGCGCAGGAAAAAAGAATAGCAATGGCCGTCATGCCGAGTACGTTGGGGTGTCCTGTATGCCGTCATTCACTTTGCCTTGTAACGGACTTCACTAATACTTACTGCCCGAGCTTGCTTCTCCCCCCTCGATTATTCCAGTTTGGTTTCCAGCCTCGCAATCGAAGCCTGAGTACCGCTACGCTAAACAGCGCCGCTGAGAACTGAGGCCATCAGAAAAATGCCTCGGGCGAAATCGACCATCTAATCGGTCAGTTAATCAGGGACCTTGGAGATGATCGACCCTTTGGTAGATAGCCGGAGAGACTGAGCCATGGTTCAGCTTTTAATCGGCTTGTACTGGATGGTTATCTTCACCTCTTTTACAAACGTTCGCTAGTCAACACCTAAAGTCATTAACATTATCCAATGCCCTTTGCTTCTGAGTGGGAGGGCGGCACTTTGGCGTGGTAGGTGGTATGGATAGGAATAAAGAATGTTAGATCATCGAATACTTCCCCCGATATATTCCCAGTAATTTATGGCACCTTAGAATTGACCATCGCAATGCGGGTATCATAGCTCAATTAACCACCCGCCTGTCATGGCATCAGGCAGGTTAGTCTGTCCCCGCAAGGTAACCTGGGAAAGGGGCTACGGTGCCGAGATAGGTTTCCCCGCCTCTCATTGGATTACTCTAATGCCGTAATTTGGTTCTCGGCCGTGCAGGCCTCGGGAGTTCCTGTCATCACAGACTGGCCCTCAACGTGTCGGTATGCAGGCTCCACATGCAGCTCAATTCTGGTGCAGACCAAATGCAGAAGATAGAAGACTACACAAAATTTAGGGGTAATCGCCAAGACACTGCTGGCACGAAATGGGGGGCCGAGTCAAAGGTCATCCGGGGTTTCGACACGCTTCTCAAAGAGGCCGACCACGTGATGAGAGAGGGAATATCGGACAATCAATATCTCTGTACTCGACAGAAACCATAAACTTGAATTTAAGAAGAGAGCTAGAGGCCATCAATGCTCGAGTGTTATCACGTCAATTCGATGGTTGCGCTCTCATGTATCTGTACTCTCTGATGGGAGTTTAAGATATTGTGTCGTGGGCTACAGCGACTTTGCCAAAGTAAGCTGACTAGTTGCGCAGGACCAGGAATTCATTCAACAAAACAATAACTTAGGAGCTTCTCGCGGGATAGACTAACCAATCACCTTTGGTAGATTTCAAAGGTCAAACTCCCTATGCTACAGTACGCTACTTAAACTTTAGAAAAACATGCACAGTCTACAGGGAAACTACTCGTGCAAGAGTGAAGCTGTCAGTCCCTGAACCACTAGAACTAGAGCTTTGACTAGATTAAACCTCTTGACTTTCAGATGGCGTACAGTGATTGTGGTGTAGGCCGTCGTGACGAAAGATGCCATCCTATCGAGTAATTTAAAAAGTGTTCTCCGAACGTCTGAGAGTTGAAGGAATTTCCAGCGTTCAATGTGCTAAGTAGCAGATCAATGTCCATTTTAATCAACGGTTTAGTGTATATCTCAGTTTTCCAGTTCACTTGATTGAGCCATCGCTCGACGAGTTTGGGGTGAGATTGTTCAATAATTATTGTTCATTTTCAATCAATAATTGTATCGTTAGTGTAGCTTCTTTCTCCGCCTGTAGATCAAGGGTACTTGTGCTCAACACAGTAGACCCTCTCTCATGTCTCATTTACAGCTCTCACCAGAAGCACCAGGCTCCTCAAGTCTTCATCTGATCATATACCTCGATAAGTCTTTTGCCCTTGATTAATTCTTTCTCCGACTAACGAAAGAAAGATCTTTTGCAGAACTTAGGTATGCTAGGAGTGCAATTGTGATGTAACGATTGGTCATACGCAATGAGAAGTATGCCGTGCAGTAGCTGCAGCGCCATCGTCAATGACAAGAGGCTTCATCGGATTCGTCTCAGGAATCATGTAGTCGATTCTGAAGCTCATGATGCGGCAGGGATGCTGAACCAAAGCTGAAGATGGTAGTTTGGGTGGATACCATGATCCATGGCATTCATACACTTGCTGCATCTCTCTGTTGTGGATCTAAACCAACAGTGTAGGTGCGCCATCTAGTGCGGGAGTAAAGTTGATTACATAGCCAACGCCGTGATTGTCATGGATCTCCCTACCTCGACTCGACGTCAGCTTTTGGCGAGCTAAATCAACTCCAGAGTTACTACTGGACTTGCCAGTCGGGGCCTTGCTCTGAAACATTCGGGGCATGGCTGTGCGGCAAACAAACAAACCCCGCATGAAAATTCCAACCAACGTTGCCTCTTTCTGCGCGAAAAGATGCTGGTGGAGGATATACTGCAGGGAGCACCGTCCAATACTCTAGGGGCGAAGCGCTAGTAGCTCTGGTAGAACTCCCAGATGTCCCACCACAGCATTTCTCAAGCTGCTGGCTTGGTTTTCGGCAGTTATAGAAGTTGCGCGTATAGATTGACAAACGGTGGACTTGACAAAATCTTGACTGGAGCTTCAGTGGCTTCCAGGTTACTTCTTCAGCAATGTCAAAACATAAGGATACTGAACCAAACTGTCATAAATGAGCCGTGCGTTTGGAAAACTGAATGCACGCACGCACGAGCACTCACTACACATGTCCTGCGCCGGACGCCTGATCCCGACCTGATCTTAATCTCCAAGACATATTCCAACCCGGCTAGTTATCTCGGCAACATCCGCGAAGAACTAGAGCTGCAGTCGAAAGTCTATTTGGAGCGAACCAGCTGAGACATTAGGTCTTGTACGAGTGGGGGTTTCCGCAATTCCTATCCCTACACCCCAGAGACCAAGTTGCGTAAAATAGATTCTGTGACTATTATATGTAGACGTTCAGAATTATGTAGCTTGCGTTGGAGGTCGACAACGAAACAGGAATCGAAAGTAATGCCCGGGCCTTGAGTCTGAGTGCGTACATACACGATGATGAATATCTAGATCACCAGTCCAAAATCGCTTGCTGCAGCAAATTATAACGCAAGTCATGGTGCAGGAG